CTAACCAGGTCCGACCCTGCTTAGCTTCCGAGATCAGGCGGAATCAGGCTTGTTCAGGGTGGCATGGCCTTGATATATATCACAAACTGTATTTTTTTAAAAAAATTATTTTATTAGTTTCAAGTATATAGTACATTGGTTAGACATTTATATAGTTTATAAAACGATCACCCTAATTGCTCTTTCTCTTCTCTGCTCTCTACCTAGCCAACACATTAATGCTAATTGCATTCTCTATGCTGTGCTCCTTATCCCCATCACCAACTGTTTTTTAAAAGACCATGTAAATGTCCACTCCCACTGAGTTGTGTCTTCTCCAGGGATAGTTTTTTTTTTTTTTTTTTGATACTCATGTTTCTGGTGGTCGGTGTCCTGCTGGGACAGGTCAGGAGGGCTACTTTCCCAAGATGATACTCAGAATTGGCAGCATGCTTCCCAAGCCACTCCCGGGTACCAGAAGAGCCACGCACCATCTACTCACTCTTCTCAATCAAGTCTCAGTCGTGTTCTCTGGTTTGCACAATCTAGGAATCCACCAGCCCGTTTCCTGGGCACTAGTGAATTTAGGCCTACGGCTGTCCTCATGGATTTTATAATCAGAGTCTTTGGTCTTCCCACCACCCATGTAAGAGCCTGCATCCTAGAGAGTTTGCATAGGGGAAAAGGTAGACCTCTCTCCCCATCTGGGGACATCTGAAAGAGGACATTAGAAGTACATGTAGTTACTACCAAAGGGTCCCGACTACAGATCCAGAAGAGTAAGCTGGAATCACGGCATTCCAGGGGAGTCGTGATATTTACCTTTGTTTTCTGCCCCTCTTTATTCAGGATCTTTTTGTAAAATTTATTTTCTGGTCTCTGCTGAGAAAAGTAACTCACACCCTCCTCCCCCCATCATGCATGCAAAATCTATAACACTTTCTCCTTTTATAGGGAAGAGATATCATGTGACCCTAGAAGGCAGGACCACCCCCACTCCATCACCTACCCCTTAAACTCAAGGAATGTTTCCTGCAAGTTCTTCCATCTAAGGTCCTGATTGACTTGTGTGTTCCCCTTATAGCACTGCAGGGACCTTGAGAGGTCATTGATCCATCTGGCTGCCTCAGGATCTTTCCTTGGCTGCTGTCTGGGGACAGCCCTGTATATGTGAGGTTTCCTTTCTGTTTGGTTAGAGGCTTATTTTCCTGTGTGTGTCATCTGGGGTAGGGTGAGGTAGGGGGGCCTCATGCTTAATGGGAGATTTCTAAATGCATTGACTGCTGAGAGGGCTCTGTGAGTGTTGATTAGAGTTAAGCCCAGAGTGGCTGCTAATGTACATTCCTGACTGATAGGGACCAGATAATGTGCTCCAAACAATATTTTTAACCTGTAGGAGATATGGAAGCTTAAAAGAGTTAAGCTTTTCTGCTACTTTTGGTGACACTAGGTGCTAAATTCCCTGCTGACATGAATAGCATTGGACCCTGGGCATTATCAACAAACAAACAACAACACACCACCTTTCTACTTTGAAGTTTCTCCTCTTCTTCCATTCTTTCCTTCCCCAGCATCTTTCATTTTACTCCTCTTTTAAATTCTACTCTAATTCTATCTCTGTCTTCCCATACTTGCTCTGCCTCCCTCCCCTTACATCCCCAAAGTAAAATCTTGGTGAGAGATAAGAGAAAGGAAAATCCACAAACATGGGGAGATTGCTAAGAGAGCCAAGCCCCATCTTCTCACTCTTCTCAGTCAAGTCTCAGCTGAGGAATGTGGAACTTCTGATTCCCTGATATAAAGATGGCTGGTAAGTGAGGGCTATCAGGTGAAAGTAAATGAGGGTGGTTAGGACTGGGAGCCAGGGTCTATTTGGGTGGTAGGCTAGCCAAAATCTGGAGAAGCCCCTCTCCTGCTACCCTGAGCTCTGTGTATATGGAACAGAAAGAATTCTTCATTTCCCCACCCTCCTAAGAACAGTCACCCCACCTGGTGCATCTTTCCTCCCTTCCATCCCCATCCCAGGCAATGCCAACGAGAGCATCTCCTCTCCTGTTTCCAGGTATGGCCTTTGGCCTCAGGCCGGCTCGGGCAGTGCTTACACACCATCCATACTGAAGACCGAGTCTGGTCCATTGCTATCAGCCCATTACTCAGGTAAGGGAGACATTTTTGGATATGGTTTTGTCCCATCTAATAATGATTTTATTTTGCAAGGTCAGGTGGGTTAGAAAATCTTACACCATATAGTCTAGGTTGTTTTGAGCTATTCTCCTGGAGATTTTGGAAATCCTCCAGAGACTTGAGGTCTGAAGCTCACTTCATATATGTGTGGGGTCAAGGTAACCTTCTAGGGGCTGATTTCCTGAGCATCTAGCCCAAGAAATGTGAAGGAAAAGATACTATGTTAGAATGTAACTGAGTCCGTCTGTTACAAGAGGGTCCCTTTTGGAGCAGATGCCTTTTTGGGTTCTCTCAACACCCCTGGGAGGTGACAGCACCAGCCAACCTGCTCTCACAACTCACATCAGTGATTTGTTCCCCTTGAAAAATGTCTTCTGGAGTATCCCTTACAGAGTTGAGTCATCAGGAGAGGCTTGGGACCTATGTCTCATTGGGCCATCATCCAAAGATATGTATGTGGAGTAGATTCATTGACCATTGAAGCAGAAGTGCCAAATTTTTGATGGTGACTTTACCCTACCCTTTGGTCCAATTGGTATTTCTCTAGCTTTGCTAGTCTATGAGCAAGTGAGCTTCGCATCCTGATTTCTACTTTCTAAGTTCTCTTGGACCAAGTCAGAGCTTCTCTTGGACCAGCAGGGCACCATAGACGCCCTCTCCTGCACCTGCTCTGTCACAGTATTTACCTAGGGTTTTCTCCACTTCCTTCTCCCCTCACTCCCCACCCAGATGATCAATGGGAAAGCTGTTGGGCTGCCACCCTCCAACACTGGATATGAGTCAGTCACTTGTTTTATGAGAGTCGATTCCCCCCTTTGCTCAGCCCCCTTCCCTCCTTCGCCTCACCCCATGGAGCTCGCATCCCTCCTGCCCCCTTCCACAACTCCCTTTCAATTTTTTTTCTTTTAAAGAATTAGAGCCGATTAGCCACGTCATTAATTCTTCAATTTGACGGCTGATATAGCAGGACCTGAAACACATTGCTGACCCCAGAGAATGGAGACCCCGTTCCTTAGCATATTGACGATGGGAGAAGTTAATTAAAATTCCACAGAGCGGGGGTGTCGGCTAACCTATAAACCTGTCTCTGTTCAGAACAAATCATTCTAGCTATCCTAGGAAAGAGGGAAGGAAGGACCAGCAGGGAGTAAGAGAGGCCTAAGTATGTGGGAGTGGAGGGTGGAAAATGGAGCCATCGAGCTTTGTCCCCTCCTCAGTTTCTTCCTAATGCTGCCATTTTTAAGCCAGTTAGCCAGGCTTGGGGGAGGGTCTGTGGGCTGGATATGTATAACGATTGAAGGAAGGTGGGACAGCTTGCGGTAGGTGACAGGTGGGCTGGTGACTTTGTCTTGGTATTTACCTGTGGACTTCTACTGGCTTAAGGAGACTGGGATGAGCTGGGGAGGGGTTGGTAGTAGAGGGAAGTTCTTCAGGGCCAGAGATGGTCAATGGATTCCTGCCAAAGAACACGGACAGGCTCTCCCAGCACCCCCACCCCATAGTGCTCTGCTCCAGACACCTCCTCTGGAGTGTTAACAGAGAAGAGCATGGAAACTGTCGAAGATGGCATCAATAAAAGTTTGAGGACAGAATCCACCCTCATCATTAAAGAAGCAGTTTAGATCACAATGAACTGAGTTTAGGTTTTTTGGCCACAACTTGGAGACTGGTTTTGAGGAAGGGCCTAACTTTCTATTACTAGTACTACTCTAAGACTGCTACTGCTACATGCAGCAAGTATTTATTAGTCATTAGCTCCATGCCTGACCCTCTGCTGCATCCTTGATGTGCTTTATCCTTGGTGAAAACCCAATTCTTATGTTTTCTTCACATTCTCCTTTAGAGTCTTCTTGTCCTCTTGGTGTATTTTCTTGCCCCGGGGTGATCTTTCACTGATTATAAATGAAAACAAGGACAATAGTTGTAGGAATCACTCAGTTCAGTGCCATTATATAAACCTGACAATTTGAAAAATTAGAGCACTTCTTTCACTCGCTGTTGGCTGGCTGTCCAATTGCTCACCCACAGTATTTGAGATGACCTTTTCCCTAACTCCACAGATGGTATCTTGGAGTCTTTGTAAAAACAGTTTACATTTGAGATTCTACCTTTATACTAGATTACCAGGGTATATTCTGGTATTATCTCTTCCCTTTTTTCTCTTACCCAAATATAAACTGGGACAGGGATCTTTTCTTCTCATTATTAGATCCATTTCTTCTTTCTGTGTCTCTGAATTTGAACCATTCAATAACCTTTCAATGAACCTTTCATTCATTTATCCCAATCTGGGAGACACTGCCTCCCGGCCTTGGGGTCTGTTCTGGGAGATTGGAGTTCTGCTTTGACACCAACCAGGAGAGTGGCCTCAAGTAAGTCATTCCCTTCTTTGTGCCTCAGTTTCCTCATCTATTAAATATAAATACTATTTCCTTTATAGACCTTTCTAGATTATTGTGAAGATGACCTGAAATAATGAGTAAGAAAATCCTCTGCAAAGCTAGAAGGGCTATAATATGTCAACTGGAATCTCTCCTCTCTGGTATAGTATTTGTTTAGTGGCTTTGCCTGCTCTCATCTGTCCACCTGTGCTCCCACTCTCCTGGCCCTCAAGGAGTTACACTGCCCTTTTGTAGTCTTCTTGAGGTGCAGGTTAAGCAGGAATTTCTCTTTCCTCTTTTTACTCCTGTAGTATTCCTGTACTCAATGTCTGCTTTCTGTTCCCCTCTCTGCCACCTTCCCTATTGAGTATGGTCGTCAGTGTCACCAATATGATGAAACCCTGAACCCCTCAAGAAGAACATGAGAGGAGATGGGCAGCAGCTGTCCTTTAGGCCAGGTACTCCTGGTTTACCTGACAATTTCTCATTCCCTTATTGCTCCCTCATTCAGTGAGAAGGAACCTGGACCATTAGGAGACCTGGCACATCTCTTTCCTCAATTAATCTCTTTCTTCTATTTTAATTAATTTGTCAGAGCTATTCATCATATTTATCTTTGATGCTGGGGCTTTTCTGCTTTATTTTCTTACGTATATACTTAGACACTTAGAGTATGAAATATGAAACCTCAAGCCTTAGGCTTATTTTGAGGTGCTCATGACCGGGAGAATGCAGATATTCTTTTCTATGTCCAAATGTCGCCTTGCCTTCCTTCCATGATCTTGAATTCTTGATTTGTAAATGGTCATAGAGGATGATATTTAATACCAGTTATGTGCTTAGAGCTATGTTTGGGCACTCAAAAAACATGGAAGGAAAACCAGTAGTCTTCACAGGAGGGAGGCAGGCAAGGACCTTTTCTTCTACCTCTTGCCCATCGTCTTGCCCTGACACCAGTAGCTCTATTTTTAAGATTCATGACTTACAGATGAAGCCCTCCTCCTTACAGATGAAGCCTAGAGTTGTTAATGAGTGAAAGAAGGATGCTTTGAGGTAGAAGTCAGATGCTGGAGCCATGCCTTGGGTGTCAGGACATAGGTGTGGGTATGATTGTTGGGCTGAAATACATTCAGCTGGTCTCAGAGATACAACCTCCTGAGGTCACATTGGATTCTGAGCACTTTTCTATGAGTAACATGGAAGAACAGACTCTTAAAAAATGTGCAATATGTTTTATTGTCATATAAAATTATTTGCAGCTGAATAAAGTTAATAAATACTCAGGAGTGAGGAAATGCAGAACCATTAAAGACTTAATTTCATTCCCTCCTACTTTCCATCTTTTTTTTTCTTACTCCCTTTCCTCCTCACTCCTTGTATACTGACTGAACACTTGCTATGAAGCAGTTGTCCTGAAGATCCTATTCAGGGGGACAAGATGTACCATAACTATAATGGTTGTCAGACGATACTAAGTGTCTGAAACTAGGCTGGCTCTAGTTGAGGGGGTAGAGGGGATGCCATTCCTGGCAGAGGGAGAAATTGAGCCTCAGGGAAGCTCTATTCAGGGCACATGTGGGATGGGGCAGAAGAGGCATCAGTTGGTGCTTGGATCTCTAGCTTGTTGCCACATCCTGTGGGCTGAGGAAGGGCCGTAAGGCAGGCCCGGGTCATTGCCATGACTTTACCACTAGCATCTTGGACAGTGGCTGTGGCTCTTGAAAGGCTCTGGGGGACATTCTCTCTTCCTGGAGGGCGGAGTTGAGATAGAGAGGGGCGGAGGAAGGCAGTGTATAATGGAGGCTTAGACTCACTCAGGTAGCTGTGAGTGCTCACCCCATTTCAAGAGTGCAAATACTCATAGATCATCAGTTTGCAGGGCCCCTTCCAAGCCAGCTGTGGGGGTCCTGGTGGTGAAATGAATCTGTAGGCCCACTTGCTCTGTTTGCCTAGGAGGGGAAGAGAGAGGAGCACCCGACTCCTCTTTCCTTGCAGACACCATATTTATTACCCTCCAAGAAATAGGAGGTGCTCAGCAGAATCCTTTCGCCATCTCTGAACAACGCTTGCTATCATGTGAGTGAGTGTGGTCAGGAAGGTTTCCCAGAACACTTGGGTTTTAATCCTTTTTTTTCTTGTTTCTGTCATTAGGGAAATATATGAGTGGTATAGGTGTAGAAACTTGACTTAGCTGCATTATTAAATATACAATATAATTTTGTGTTACTTTGCTCACTGTGGTGGCCTGTTTGTTTTTGGGGGGATTAGTCCAAGTCTGCATGAAATGTACCGATTCAAATTTGTAAAGTGAGTTGCAGCCTCTGGGGGGTTTTGATGGAGCAGCTGCCCCTTCTTGCTTCATTTCTCCCAGAGGTGAGGGAGAGTCTGGAAGGAAAGCAGTCACTGTGTACTGTTTGGTAAGGGGGTGGGTTTCTGGGGAGAGCAGAGTGTTTGTTCCAGTGGCTACAGGGTTTACTGTGTGTTGTGTGTGGGGTAGATGCATATTCACTAGCCTGTTGAAATACACCTTTCTTTAGTGAAAGGTAATTGCATCTGGAGTTTTCTCTGACAGAGAGGTTTGAAAGATTGCAA